AGTGACTGTAGGATGACAGTAATAACAGTGACTGTAGGATGACAGTTATAACAGTGACTGTAGGATGACAGTAATAACAGTGACTGTAGGATACCAGCAATAACGGTGACTGTAGGATGACAGTTATAACAGTGACTGTAGGATGCTGGTAATAACAGTGACTTTAGGATACCAGCAATAACAGTGACTGTAGGATGCCAATAAGATTAGTGACTGTAGGATGCCAGTAATAACAGTAACTGTAGGACTATAGTAATAACAGTGACTGTAGGATACCAGCAATAACAGTGACTGTAGGATGACAGTTATAACAGTGACTGTAGGATACCAGCAGCCAACAGTGACTGTAGGATGACAGTTATAACAGTGACTGTAGGATGCCAGTAAGAATAGTGACTGTAGGATGCCAGTAATAACAGTAACTGTAGGATGCCAGCAATAACAGTGATTGTAGGATACCAGTAATAACAGTGACTGTAGGATGTCAGTAATAACGGTGACTGTAGGATGCCAGAAATAACAGTGACTGTAGGATGACAGTTATAACAGTGACTGAAGGATGACAGTAATAACAGTGACTGTAGGATGTCAGTAATAACGGTGACTGTAGGATGCCAGAAATAACAGTGACTGTAGGATGACAGTTATAACAGTGACTGTAGGATGACAGTAATAACAGTGACTGTAGGATGCCAGAAATAACAGTGACTGTAGGATGCCAGCAATAACAGTGATTGTAGGATACCAGTAATAACAGTGACTGTAGGATGTCAGTAATAACGGTGACTGTAGGATGCCAGAAATAACAGTGACTGTAGGATGACAGTTATAACAGGACTGAAGGATGACAGTATAACAGTGACTGTAGGATGTCAGTAATAACGGTGACTGTAGGATGCCAGAAATAACAGTGACTGTAGGATGTCAGTAATAACGGTGACTGTAGGATGCCAGAAATAACAGTGACTGTAGGATGACAGTTATAACAGTGACTGAAGGATGACAGTAATAACAGTGACTGTAGGATGTCAGTAATAACAGTGACTGAAGGATGCCAGCAATAACAGTGACTGTAGGATGACAGTTATAACAGGACTGAAGGATGTCTGAATAACGGTGACTGTAGGATGCCAGAAATAACAGTGACTGTAGGATGACAGTTATAACAGTGACTGAAGGATGACAGTAATAACAGTGACTGTAGGATGTCAGTAATAACAGTGACTGAAGGATGCCAGCAATAACAGTGACTGTAGGATGACAGTTATAACAGTGACTGTAGGATGTCAGTAATAACGGTGACTGTAGGATGCCAGAAATAACAGTGACTGTAGGATGACAGTTATAACAGTGACTGAAGGATGCCAGCAATAACAGGGACTGTAGGATGTCAGTAATAACGGTGACTGTAGGATGCCAGAAATAACAGTGACTGAAGGATGCCAGCAATAACAGTGACTGTAGGATGTCAGTAATATCAGTGACTGTAGGATGACAGTAATAACAGTGACTGTAGGATGACAGTTATAACAGTGACTGTAGGATGACAGTAATAACAGTGACTAGGATGCCACTAATAACGGTGACTGTAGGATACCAGCAATAACGGTGACTGTAGGATGACAGTTATAACAGTGACTGTAGGATGCTGAATAACAGGACTGTAGGATACCAGCAATAACGGTGACTGTGGATGACAGTTATAACAGTGACTGTAGGATGCTGGTAATAACAGTGACTGTAGGATACCAGCAATAACGGTGACGAGTATGACAGATTATAACAGTGACTGTAGGATGCTGGTAATAACAGTGACTGTAGGATACCAGCAATAACGGTGACTGTAGGATGACAGTTATAACAGTGACTGTAGGATGCTGGTAATAACAGTGACTGTAGGATGCCAGTAATAACAGTGATTGTAGGATGTCAATAATAACAGTGACTGTAGGATGTCAGTAATAACAGTGACTGTAGGATGCCAGTAACAGTGATTGTAGGATGTCAATAATAACAGTGACTAGGATGCGCAATAACAGTACTGTAGGATGCCAGCAATAACAGTGACTGTGGGATGTCAATAATAACAGTGACCTAGGATGCCTGCTATAACAGTGACTGTAGGATGCAATAACAGTGACTGGGATGTCAGTAATAACGGTGACTGTAGGATGCCAGAAATAACAGTGACTGTAGTCTGACAGTTATAACATGACTGAAGGATGCCAGCAATAACAGGGACTGTAGGATGTCAGTACATTGACTGTAGGATGCCAGAAATAACAGTGACTGAAGGATGCCCGCAATAACAGTGACTGTAGGATGTCAGTAATATCAGTGACTGTAGGATGACAGTAATAACAGTGACTGTAGGATGACAGTTATAACAGTGACTGTAGGATGACAGTAATAACAATGACTAGGATGCCACTAATAACGGTGACTGTAGGATACCAGCAATAACGGTGACTGTAGGATGACAGTTATAACAGTGACTGTAGGATGCTGGTAATAACAGTGACTGTAGGATACCAGCAATAACGGTGACTGTAGGATGACAGTTATAACAGTGACTGTAGGATGCTGGTAATAACAGTGTGTAACCAGTTGAACAACGGTGACTTTAGGATGACAGTTATAACAGTGACTGTAGGATGCTGGTAATAACAGTGACTGGGATGCCAGATAATAACAGTGATTGTAGGATGTCAATAATAACAGTGACTGTAGGATGTCAGTAATAACAGTGACTGTAGGATGCCAGTAATAACAGTGATTGTAGGATGTCAATAATAACAGTGACTAGGATGCCAGCAATAACAGTGACTGTAGGATGCCAACATTGTGGATGTCAATAATAACAGTGACTAGGATGCCTGCTATAACAGTGACTGTAGGATGCCAGCAATAACAGTGACTGGGATGTCAGTAATAACGGCTGTAGGATGCCAGAAATAACAGTGACTGTAGGATGACAGTTATAACAGTGACTGAAGGATGACAGTAATAACAGTGACTGTAGGATGTCAGTAATAACGGTGACTGTAGGATGCCAGAAATAACAGTGACTGTAGGATGACAGTTATAACAGTGACTGTAGGATGACAGTAATAACAGTGACTGTAGGATGCCAGAAATAACAGTGACTGTAGGATGACAGTTATAACAGTGACTGAAGGATGCCAGCAATAACAGGGACTGTAGGATGTCAGTAATATCAGTGACTGTAGGATGACAGTAATATCAGTGACTGTAGGATGACAGTTATAACAGTGACTAGGATGCCACTAATAACGGTGACTGTAGGATACCAGCAATAACGGTGACTGTAGGATGACAGTTATAACAGTGACTGTAGGATGTCAGTAATAACAGTGACCAGGATGCCAGTAATAACAGTGATTGTAGGATGTCAATAATAACAGTGACTAGGATGCCAGCAATAACAGTGACTGTAGGATGCTGGTAATAACAGTGACCAGGATACCAGCAATATCGGTGACTGTAGGATGACAGTTATAACAGTGACTGTAGGATGTCAGTAATAACAGTGACTGTAGGATGCCAGTAATAACAGTGATTGTAGGATGTCAATAATAACAGTGACTAGGATGCCAGCAATAACAGTGACTGTAGGATGCCAGCAATAACAGTGACTGTAGGATGTCAATAATAACAGTGACTAGGATGCCTGCTATAACAGTGACTGTAGGATGCCAGCAACAACAGTGACTGTAGGATGCCAGCAATAAGAACATAAGAACATAAGAATGGAGGAAACTGCAGCGGGCCTATTTGCCCATACTGGGCAGTCCCATTTACACCCAAACCCTATTGCTCATATAAGCATCCAACCTATGTTTGAAGCTCTCCAGCGGATTCGAGTTAATGATGATATTTGGTAACTTGTTCCATTCATCCACTACTCTGTTACCAAACCAGTGTTTACCTATTTCTAACAGTGACTGTAGAATGCCAGTAATAACAGTGACTGTAGGATACCAGTAATGACAGTGACTGTAGGATGCCAGCAATAACGGTGACTGTAGGATGCCAGCAATAACAGTGACTGTAGGATGAAAGTAATAACAGTGACTGTAGGATGCGAATGATAACAGTGACTGTAGGATGAAAGTAATAACAGTGACTGTAGGATGCCAGCAATAACAGTGACTGTAGGATGCGAATAATAACAGTGACTAGGATGCCAGCAATAATAGTGACTGTAGGATGCCAGCAATAACAGTGACTGTAGGATGCCAGCAATAAGAACATAAGAACATAAGAATGGAGGAAACTGCAGCGGGCCTATTGGCCCATACTGGGCAGTCCCGTTTACACCCAAACCCTATTGCTATTTGGTAACTTGTTCCATTCATCCACAACTCTGTTACCAAACCAGTGTTTACCTATTTCTAACAGTGACTGTAGAATGCCAGTAATAACAGTGACTGTAGGATACCAGTAATAACAGTGACTGTAGGATGCTGGTAATAACGGTGACTGTAGGATGCCAGCAATATCGGTGACTGTAGGATAACAGTAATAACAGTGACTGTAGGATGACAGTAAGAACAGTGACTGTAAGATGCCAGTAATAACAGTGACTGTAGGATGCCAGCAATAACAGTGACTGTAGGATGCCAGAAATAACAGTGACTGTAGGATGCCAGCAATAACAGTGACTGTAGGATGCCAGCAGTAACAGTGACTGTAAGATGCCAGCAATAACCGGTAGATTTTTTATTTCGTTTTTTTGTGTTCATATTATATTACTTGTTGACGTTTGAGAATACATTTAGTAGAGTCTATAGATCAGTGTTTGAGTTTTCATAATATACGAGTATCAAGAAGATGTTAACGAAATTCTTAAATATAATATAATTCAGATGGGCAAAAATTAATTCAACAGTGAACTACATGAGGTTCTGTCCCAGTTGCTTTCTTAACCAGATCCTAGTTTGGTTCTCTCTCTTATTATGTACTGTTCGCCTCCACAGGGTCCCCCAGGGGATTCAGTGACCGGTCCTCCAGGGCCCCCGGGCCTTCCAGGACCCCCAGGCAGAAGTTTTTCTTCAGAAATGCCCGATTACGGTTCAGGTGACGGCGAAGACTATCTTGTAAGTACTCTCTGAGAATATATATATATATATATATATATATATATATATATATATATATATATATATATATATATATATATATATATATATATATATATATATATATATATATATATATATATATATATATATATATATATATATATATATATATATATATATATATATATATATATATATATATATATATATATATATATATATATATATATATATATATATATATATATATATATATATATATATATCATGTCTACTTTGCATTGTTTTATATATATATTTTCACCAATATATACAGTAATTACTACGAGTGACACTGACGCAGGTCAGTCTATTGATTTTTCTCTGACTGTTACAGCCGCTGGATTTTAGTGGGGAAGTACGTGGACCACCTGGCCCCCGAGGGGAGTGCACTTGCAACATGACTAGCCTGGTGGCCACCGTGATAGCCAAGTTGCCCAATGGTTTGCCCGGTCCCGAAGGTCCTGCTGGACGAGATGGTATGTCCGGAACCCCAGGGACCTGGGCGGCCAGGACCCCCAGGGGAACGGGGCCCTGGAGGACCACTGGGCAAGAAGGGAGACAGAGGAGATTCTGGGAGTCCAGGTGAGGCGCTTCTCCAACACACTCAAGTATTAGCTAAGTGGTGGATATGTTAGGTAGTGTGGTGGTGTTGTGTACAGTCGTGGTGGGCAACTTTCCTGGTTACTTGGCAGTATCTGTCATTAAGCACTTTAGGATGATTTGATTAAGAGGATCAGAATGTTGACGTATTTGCTCAAATTTGTCTTTGTTATTAGGACTTTTTTTGTCTATTTTATGGTTTACATAATGAAATACAGCGTTATTATATATATATATATATATATATATATATATATATATATATATATATATATATATATATATATATATATATATATATATATATATATATATAAGTTCCCAAGCGCTTTCGTGTAATTCACATCTTCAGGGGTGAGTAATAACGAAAGCGCTTGGGAATTTCGTGTTTTCTTTATCCTTGTGGTTATCAGCATATACCTGGAGCACGCGCACCTACAGTGATTTACTTGCACACACACACACACATATATATATATATATATATATATATATATATATATATATATATATATATATATATATATATATATATATATATATATATATATATATATATATATAACTCAGACGTAATGCTAGATATTGCCAAGTATTCACGGAACTGTTCAAGGAGCAAGCTTGGGCACTGCACATGGTGGTGACGTCACAATTTTCACGATCTTCCAGGAGAGTTACCGATACTGGTGCTCAAGGGTCGTAGGTCTCTGAGTGAGGAATCCATTGATGGCGTTGGAAACCGTTGCTGCTTGGATAGTTTCTTTGCTCCTATATCATTGCTGGTAAACAAGAATGCGAATACTACACTGAACATCATAATCAGTAAAGTGAACTATATAAGGAGACTATGCAGCGGTTGATAAATTTAAGAAATAATATCAGAAATTCAAGATATGTTGAGATAAATGCTGACCAGGACATAAGGATGTATGCCAGGTCCAGGAACCAAGCAATGTCAGTGTTGAATGGCTGAAAAAGAGTTTCAGATGCGTATCATATTTGGGGCATGAAGATGGTTGTTATACAGATTCGCCAGGCGTAAAAGTAGGAGTAGAAAAAAAATATAATAATAAAAATTTGAGGAAAAAAACTATGTCTATCTACACCACGAAGGTGCCGGAAAACCAGCTTTTTGGTGTGAGACAGATTGTAAGAGGATGGAAACACAGAAGAAGGCAGAGCATTCCACAGTTTGGTTGGGTGAAGAAGGAAGGATGTACTTTAACAGATTATTCTAGTGTGACCGACATCCACACAGAATCGGTGGGCACCACTGGTAAGACGAGTGTTACGAGCCCACTGCCTTGCCGGCGGTACATAAGATGCTAAATCCACCCAACATTGCCCGAGCTATAGGTGGACACCTATAGCTCGACTTCCCTAGAACGGAAAGAGGTATAAATGTTGGAGTTGGAAATTTGAAAAGTTTTGGGTGAAGCTGGTTTGGTCAGATAGTAGTAAAAGATCGGGGGAAGAGGTTAATAGATGGTGCTCTATAGACGAAAAATTGGATCTCAAGCCGCGTATGTTGGAAAAATGAAGTGTGAAAAAAGTCGATCCTCCAGCAACACGCGGTGACGTCACTTGAGGCCGCAGTAGTTTGATGATGGTCTAGTGGAACCCAACCGAAGGCCCGCTTTAATATTATTGTCAACTGATATCACAGCAGAATAAAAGAATATAAAAAATAAAACAGATCAAGGGTGAGAAAAGATATACAGTATATGTTGTGTTGTAGCTTCAAACATAGGGATGGATATATGAGTGATAGGGGTTGGGTGTAAATGGGACTGCCCAGAATAGACCACGTTCAAGAAAGAGGAACAAATGAGACCCTGGAACTGTGTGTAAATGAGGCAGAAAGTCAGGTCAGCAACCTGGGACCGGGTCACAATTTTTGTGATTCCATATGGCAGCAGGGTCTACCATTAGACAACACATTATGCTTCCAATATCTTCCCAGGAGTAGTACCTCCCTGTTTGATAGCTGCCTGCTACCTACTACTACTACTACGAACAATCTCCCTGTGTTTCAGGAAAGATGGTTTGATACAGCACTGGCGCACACTAGAAGTGTATTAGAAACAAATTGTCAAAGCAAATGGTTCATAAGAGCCCTGGCCCTGATAGCGTGCATCCCAGAACTCTAAGAGAGCTGTGCAACGAGTTTGCTGAGCCCCTTAAAATCCTGTTCTGTTGAGGCATGGACTAGCAAAAGGGCCCCTGCGACTGGAAAATGACATATGTGAGTCTTATATTCAAACAATGAGATCACCACTCTACAAATAATTATAAGCTTGACCAGCATATTATGTAAAGTACTAGAGAGCATTATCAGTAATTCCTTGATGGAACTTTTACTACGAAACAAGCTAGTTAAAGGAATGCCAGCACGGTTTTATGCCGGGACGCTCCTGCTTGAGGTAGTTACTGAAGGGACTGGATGTGTGGATCCAGATCCCGAAACGTGGTGGCAATATCGACAAAATATATCTAGACTTCCCCAAGGCTTTCGACAGTGTACCCCAGGAAAGGTTGAAAATTAAACTGGAAGGGTACGGAATTTGGGGGTGTCCTAGCGAAGATCGGAGACTTTTTCCGTAACCACGAGGTACCACAGGGAAGTGAACTGGGCTCGTTGTTGTTGTGTGTTATTTTTTTCATAAATGACTTGCTTGAAGCTATACACTCCCCATGCAAATGTTTGCTGATGATGCCAAGTTATTTAGGCAAATTAAGAACCAAACGGATTGTGAAGAACTATAGAAAGATCTCTGTCAGCTTCAGGAGTGGTCAAAGGAATGGCTGTGAAGATTCACCGTCCATGAAAGGCAAGAGGATGCACCTAGGTTGTCCCAATGGTAAAGAGGTATGCCGCACGTCCCAACAGAGCGAAGAAACAGCATTAATGGAAACCAAATGTGAAAAAGTCCTCGGTATGTATGCTGACAACGAACTGAAGTTCTCGGACCATTGTGAGAAGAAGGCGAATCAAGCGACTAAGCTAGTGATTTATAAGAAGATCGCTCTGGTACCTCGTAACGCTCTTCAAAAGTGAGGTGCTTTCCGTTTGAGTACTGCAACCCTGTCATATCCCCGAGATATGCTGAGACTGCCAGTTGATTGACAACGTAGTGCCTGCACTACGCTCCAGTTACCCCGTGTTATTAGAACACCTGCATGGGGTGACTTAATCGACGTCTATAAACACCCTAGAGACCTCAGAGGACATTACCCAGTCTAGTATCCATACGTGGACAAACTTTTTCGGAGTGAGGATTGTAAACGCTTGGAACAAACTGCCAGAGAGCGGTGTGACGGAGATCTTTCAAGACCAGATTTGACCAACACTGCCGGCTGGCGCAGATACACCCTGGAACCAGTACATGCCCAGTACTTTCCAACAGTACGTAACAGACGTAACTTGTTGACGAAATTAAATCTGTCTAAATGTTACTCATATTTTGTTCATGACATGACATAACATGGGAGGCAGTGTACAGTGAACGTTCCAGTACTCGCTTAAATTTTTATTGGTCCTGAAACAATCTTCCTGACAATTCATAAACACGAGAGCTCATGACTCACCTGTTATATTACAAAATAAGAAATCAAACATGAGGTCAGAACATAAACATGACATCCACTAATCCGCACACCAACACCACCACACACGCAAAGGAGCTTAAAAGAAAGGGCGACGTAACTAGTCATGTTAAGTCAGGTAAAAAAATGGGACCCACTAATCATCTATCCTACATCTAACATCTGACATAAAATGACTAGTTACGTCGCCCTTTCTTTTAAGCTCCTTTCCGTGTGTGGTGGTGTTGGTGTGCGGATTAGTGGATGTCATGTTTATGTTCTGACCTCATGTTTAGTAAGGTCACCCTGTTTACTTAAACCTATCTCTGTCCTTGTAAATCAGCTGCATCTGAAGCTGTCTTGAATAAAGACGAAAGCTAAGGTGCTCCATTGTTTCCCTTTTTCCTGTGTGATTTTATCAATATATATATATATATATATATATATATATATATATATATATATATATATATATATATATATATAATATTAATATATATATATATATATATATATATATATATATATATATATATATATATATAAAGAGAGAGAGAGAGAATGTGTGTGTTTGTATCTATCTCCAGGTCCCGAGGGACTGCAGGGCCCTAAAGGTGAGTCTGGTGTGGACGGAGCGCCAGGACTGCCGGGTGAGCGAGGACCACAAGGACCTCCAGGACCTCCCGGATGGGGCAACGCTGGGTTTGACGTAAGACACTTACACACAGTACTATAATACTTAATTGCATGGTGATGGACTTGAGTTACTTTTAAGGACTCTCTCCCCCCCTCTCTCTGAATATATATATATATATATATATATATATATATATATATATATATATATATATATATATATATATATATATATATATATATATATATATATATATTTATTTATTTATTTATTTATTTATTTATATTATACTGTACAGTCAACTGTAAATAATTCAGATTTATTATTAATACAGAATTTAATCCTCTAATATCATATTGTTAACCAGTAAGGAACACCAATAGACTAGGATAATTGCATAATGTTTTTGTTCATGGATATGAATCATATATTTCTGATATATAAATAAAATTCAACATCATAAACCATAAGTATATGTATACTGTTATCCACGCAGCCTTTGTGGAAGCCTCGCACCATGTTCAAGGTAACTAATAAATCACATTATTCAGTGGCCTTTAAATTAATCTTCCTTAAAGTAATTGGTCTAGGTAATTAAATTAATTCTCATTCACATTGTTGAAACAACTGTGGGTTATGATATCACCTCTTGCACACACACACACACACACACTACTTTTCAGTTTATTTTGAACGGAGTTACTATTCGTATCATTCGAATCGAAAAGGAATATCATTGAAACAATACTCGAGACACGCTTCATAACAATTCGACAAAGTTCGTCTGTACAGACATTTTATAAAAATATAAGAGTCAATAGGGCAAATATTAATAACACTGATAATATTACAATATATACAGGGTAACATTATAGAAAATGGAATGCCGTCCTGTTAGAAGAATGCTTGACAGCTTTATGGGTTTCAATCGTAAAACACCCATAATCATACCTACGATTGACTATGCATTATGGTGATTCGTGCGTGTAATATCTGCAAGTCTGTCGAAGTAATCTCATGGAATGTCGATTTATAATAAGATGGTGTCAAAGGATATGTCTCAGTGGTATAATGCAAAATATTGTCTATGTATTTTGAATTTCCGTGGGAGTGAAGTGCAGAAAGGGGTACTTCTTTGCTGTCACTCGGAATCGAGGATGACGATCATCCAGCTATGATACAATTATATGAGTTATTAGAAATGTCACCTTCGTTGGTGAGTTCTGAGGAGACTCGAGAGGTTGATAACGGACCGGCAGGGCCGTCAACATTTGTTGCACGTGTGGATGCTACATCTAGTGTGGGATGGACAGCTACAGCGTCTTAACCGGCGCTGCACCCCTGTCTGCCTCGTTGTGCAGTTGGGCTAACGCGAAAGAATTTACACCTCGTGTGGTGCTATTCCAAGCGGTACGGTGAGGAGTGATCATCTACCAGGTGAAGGGATCAATTTGGCACTTTTTCAGGTTTGTCTTCAGACTATCCTTATACCCTTTCCATTGCCGACCGGCATTACGTTTACCATTCGTTAGATGACTGTATAATAGCTGCTTTGGCATTCTACTGTCGTCCATGGGACATGGCTAGTCCAAATGTAGCTGTTCATGGATAATGTTAGCCGCCTTGATGCTCCTACTGTTTGTGTCAGCGAGAATACTGGTATTCGTTCTCCTGTCTTCACAGCGAAATTGGAGGATGGAATGTAAATTACGTTGGTGAAAGTTTTTCAGTGCCTAGAGGTGCTTCCTGTATGTGACCCATGTCTCGCTGACATGCAGGATGGGTGGGAGGACCACTGATCGATATACGTGCAACTTTGTAGATAATTTCGGCTCCCTACAGGTGAAGACACAGATATGGATTCAGCCAAAGGCTTGAGATGCACATCTGATCAGATATTGAATATCTTCATCGATACCCACAGTGGTGGACAGGTGAGAGCCAGGATACTGAAAGTGGGAAACATTAGAGAGTACCGTTAACCTGGATAGATGTTGGAGGTATGGCTGATTCAGGGGGCAAGCTGAAAAAGAATCTGAGTCTTACATATATTCACCTCAAGGCCGAAGTGTGTATACACATCTGAGTAGGTGTTCAGGATCTTCTGTAGGTCGCGTTCAGTGTGTGTGATGAGGGTGAGGTCGTCTGCACAGTGATAGAAGCAGTCGACACCTTTGTTTCTGACTTGAGTCGTCTTATGTTGAAAAGTCTCTTCCTCCAGTAGTGGATGTCCACCCCGCTGGCTAAATTGGCACTGGCATGCGTAAGGAACGTAACCAAGAAAATGGAAAAAAGAGTTAGTGCCAGTACACATCCTTGTTTTACCCCATTTGGATAGGGAAGAACTCAGACTGGGTGCCATTGTCACAATTGTGCCGCTTATGCCACCGTGAAATTGACTCACAATGGCGATGAATTTTGGTGGGGCTTCCCTATTGACCCGAGTCGAATGCCTTAGTAAGGTCGATGAAGGACATGTACAAGTGATTATACTGTTCTCTGCACTTTTCCCGTATCTGACGGGCAGCAAAGATGATCTAAAGCCACATTGAGATACTGGGAAGAAGTTTTCCGCCTCAGGAAGAAGACTGTCTAGGAGGACTCGGGAGATAATCTTACCAGCTATGGACTGCAGCGAGATCCCACAGCAGTTGCCACAGTCTGACTGGTCTCCCTTGTTCTTATTAATATTGCAATGGAGGCATCCTTAAGATCTTGGGGGATTTCCTACTTCTCCCATACATTTTGCTGGAGATAATGGAGACTGCTGGTAAGCAGAGGTCCTCCTCCTTTATACACCTCAGCTGGGATACCATCAGGCCCTGTGGCTTTGATATTTTTCATCTGTGTTACGTTTTAAATGCAGGAAAGTGGTTTTCTTACCGTAGAACTCAGATACCTTCACACTGGTTACTCACCCAGGAGATGATGGTGTATCACTACGTAGAATTTCACTCTTCTTCCGGCATTCAATGCGTTGTGTACTTGATAAATGATGATTTAATGAATTCCATTAATTTCCAACATCCATCTAAGTTATTGGTTATACTTTGTCATCACCAAATAGTCATTATCTTTGGTAATAATAATAATAGAGGATCACAGATACGGGCAGATCATTGCACTTAAGTTTATTTGGCACAATTCCATACACTGGACTTATAATTTGCATGGATAGGTCAGTCACTCACATTCACGCCACAGTACGTAAGTTGTAAGGGAGAGTTTGTCAACCTGGTGAATTAATGGTTTTAGATCTATTAGGCCGGCCTGGAGTGCTCTTGTAGCAAACAGGCCTCACCATTGATCACTTCCTTTACAGGATGTGTTAACTTGTCGCTGGACTTAACAACAATCTCAGGGATTTACACACAGACTCGTAGCACTGGTAGGACTGTATGGCCCCTGTTCTAAATCCACTTAGACAGGAGGTCTTCTATAACCTAAGGTCTAAAGCCCACTGGCTAAAATGTGGTTTTGAGGCATGAGATGACTATCGGCTGGCTGGGTACCTTATCTCTACCTAAACAAACATTTGGGATGGATTGTCGGAGGCCCAGCCAACTCATGACAGTAGCTACCTCATCCAGGGGGGGGGAGGATAGCTGTGGTGAGTCAGCTTTGGATGCTGTGGGACCTGCTGGATAGTCAAGACATCCACATTGATGTTTTGGTTGAGCAGTGAGCAGACGTGCTCTTTCCAGTGCTGACGGGTGCCTTCTTCGTCTTTAAGTAGGGAGTTACTGTCGGATGAGCGGAGGGGGGGCCGTGCCATCAATAATTGGGCCAGATATTGTTTAAGTGGAATTGAAAAATCAAGCATCTAGTGTTGATCTGCATTTTTTTTTTTTTTGGCGTTTACTTGCACATTTTCTACCATTCGTTTATTAGTTTGAGAAATTCATGCTGGGCCGTCGCTTTCTTCTCATGGAAGGTATCAGCTTTGGTTCAAGACTGAGGGTTGTTCTGCCAGTCAGTGAAAGCAGAACGTTTACCATTAACTAGTACACTGATTCCTGGTTATTTTCATCAAACCAATCCTGATGTTTTCTTTTGATCTTGCCTACGATCTTGCTGCAGGTTTTTGTAATGACCGCTACCGCTTGATCCTTCAGTTGCTTGGTGTTAAAACCTCGTCTGGAAGGCTTGTTGCCTTCGCCCTTTTGGGGCGACATGAAGGGAGGGTTTGTCACAGTGATCTGAGCCATGCATGACTCGGGTGATGAGGATATCTCGGCGATCTTTTTCTCTGACAATGATGTAGTCATTAAGATGCCAATCTTTGGATCTTGTGTGTTGCCAAGAACCCTTGAACTTGTCAGCCTGCCTAAACAAGTTGCTTGTGATAATGTGGTTGAGTTCAGCACACTTGCTGAGGAGGAGTAGGCCGTTGAGATTGCACTCCGTTTCCACCTATGGTTCCCTGCCATATTGATGGCATCTCTGCCAATTCGGGCTTTGAAGTCACCTAGGAGCACAACCTTATTATATCTGGGATAGGGGTTATTACTGTCAAAGTCGGCATAAAAGGCCTCCTTGATGTCATCCTCTGCACCCAGTGTTAAGGTGTATGCACTGATGAAGAAGGAATGACATGAGTAATTCAGAGGGATTCGGAACGTCATGAGGCGCTTGTTGACCTCAACAGGCAATTCAGTTCGCCTATGTAGGATGGATTGGCGAATGCCAAAGCCTTACCGTTCCAGAAGAAAGTAGAGCCGGAACACCATTCTGTAAGTCGACCCTGGGGAATCGGGACTCACTAATGGCTGCTATGTCGATGTTTTATCTAGATAGCTCTTTTGCCACAAGAGCGGCTCTTTTTTCAGGGCGCTCATTTGTACCAGCATCCAGAAGGGTCCTGACATTCCATGCAGAGACCATATGAGGTTGTATAATTTATTTTTACTTTGATCTGTGATTATGATAATCTTTTGACCACATTAGCATCACCTTACTGGGGTTTTTTTATGCATGTTAAGTTTAGGGCACCTTTTCTAGTCCTCTCCCCATGTGGGTTACAGAGTAGGTCCTGGAAGGGGCTGCTCAGTCGCACAGACAGGACCGGATTGCACTGCTACCTAGATCTCAGTGCAAACCATCTTATCTGTGCCGCCCAAATGCAGAGTTGTGACTATAGAGTCCCGGCAGTCATATCTGCCTGTCCCAGTCGCCACTTGTGTGTCGCCGTCGTCTAAGACTTTTGGGGTTTAGGGGCTGTAATGATGACGAAAAGTATTATGCACCGGATGATGGGTGCATGTGGGTTGATTTATGTGCTGAGGCAATAGTGCAGACTGTAACCAAGCATTTCGGCTCTCCCTTTTCCTGATCCAGTGGTGCAGGTAGCTGCAACGATTGGGAAGAGGGAGAGTTGCAATGGACTGCTGATAGCCCAGTTTGTTGGGTTTCGCTTTAGTAGCCTGTCCATCTTGCATTGCCTTCATCTGCCGGTGCAGTCGTTGCGTTCCCATGATGGTCTCCTCTTCCGCCTACTCCGCCATTAGTATCTTACTGG